TTCTCTCCACTTCCTGCTCTGACGCCATCTTCCCAGCTCCCCTCCTCTCCTCCACGTTGTAGAATCCCATCCGCCATCTTGCCTTTCTCCTGCACGTGACAGGATCCTGTCCACCATCTTACCTTTTCTCATGTGCCAGGACCCTGTCTGCCTCCTTGTCTTTCTCCATTTTCACCCGCTGCCTAACCTGCTCTCCCTTTTGGGTTCTTCTGACTTAACCCCAATAATGCCTGTTTCCCTGCTGCTGCTGCAGGACTGGTTTTAACTCTTTTTCCTTTCATCATCCCCACACCTAGCCCTTAGCTGAGAGGGGAAGGGTAAAAGATAAGCTGCCAATAATAATAATAAGAAGAATAATAAACATAATAAACAATTTACTAAGTTTGTTCTATAATTTAACATTTGTATATCAAAATAATCCAGTATAGAGTTGCTCTAATCCACTGCTAAATTATTCCAAGCCATAAGGTAAACCCATGTGTTCTTACCATTTGTTTTATACAATATTTCCAGGTTAAAGCATGTTGTAGAAGGAATGGGAAGTCCTGGGCCCAGCTGCGTGGCCTAGCAGCTAAAGTCCTCGCCTTGAACGTGCCCCGGGATCCCATATGGGCGCCGGTTCTAATCCCAGAAGCTCCACTTCCCATCCAGCTCCCTGCTTGTGGCCTGGGAAAGCAGTCGAGGACAGCCCAAAGCCTTGAGACCCTGCACCCGTGTGGGAGACCTGGAAGTGGCTCCTGGCTTTGGATCAGCATAGCACCGTCCATTGTGGCTCACCTGGGGAGTGAATCATCAGATGAAGATTTTGCTCTCTGTCTCTCCTCCTCTCTGTATATCTGACTTCGTAATAAAAATAAATAAATGTTAAAAAAAAAAAAAAAGAAGGAATGGGAAGTCCTGAAGCTTTGAGAGGAAACATCTTGTATGGTTTACGTGCAATGCAACTGATCATTGTCCTTAAAATTGCCTATAGCATTTTTCTAAATATTTATCATTGATATTATTGTTCTTTCTAAAGTACAATTTAGGTTAATTGTAAACCTGTGCTTGTTTCAAATTTGTAGCAGATATCAGACCTTTGATAAATGTTTTCTATAACTTCTGTTTGATAGCTTTTACTTGACGATGTTATATCATTAATCTGGTGTTTCCAACTCCTTTTTTCACTCCTCTCTCCCTCCCTTCTTTCTCTCTCCCTCCGACACTGAAGGACTCAGGCTGTACAGCTTGATCTCCAAACCTTACAGGGATGGCTAACTTATCAGACCAATGAGACTAACTAACTTCTGGTAGGCATTATCTTAAAACTATCAGGACTATGCCTGTAACTACAAATTCCTAGATCAGTCCATTAAGGAATTCAGGGGTAGAATTGAGCATCCCTTTGGCTGACATCCCGTGGTTGCCTCAGTGACCCACTTTAACCGGGGCCCAGAGGAAGAGTAGTGAGCTAGGCATTAGGAGGCTCATTAATGCAGCTTTATACAGTAACCTGTTCTCCAGGAGACCCAGTAAGGCTAGTCTATCCTCAAGTAGCACCTGCTTGCAACATGGGAAGCCAGAATATTGGGCAACCAGCTGCCAGTGATAGAAGTGGCTTTCAAAGAAGCTTGTTAACTCTGCCAAGAGCCAGGCCACTAGAAATGGAACTGCCCTGGGGGCCACAAAGTATTCCTGGGTCAGAACCATGGTGGGCCACAAGCTGAAAAGCCCTGCACTCCGCCCTACTCCCAAAGCATCCGTCGCTATGGAGGGTTGGCCTGGGGTTAGTGACATCACAGGTAAAGCTGTATATTCCATCCAGAGACACCATCTGTTCTGTACCAGCCTCCCTTTCAGGCCGGCTCTCCTCTCTGTCCAGCCAGGTAATGGGAGTCAACGGGATGTCTCCCCAGTTTCACACTTTATGATGTCTCTTCCAGTACCTCACATGAAGAGATAGATGGTCCTGGACCTTACATGCACCTGGCCAACTTTTGGATTTGGGTAACAGCAGAACTTTCCTGGGTGCATCTAGACTCGAAACTCCAGTGTCCATGTGTGTAAGACATTAGAAACAGTTTTTACTAGCTGGCACTGTAACCTTGAAGGCCACTGTCTACTGGAGCCCTGGCCTTACCATAGGCCCTGACTTAGCTCCTGCTAGCAGCCAGAGTTCCCATGAGCAGAGGGAGGGAGAGTACAGAATTAGAAGCAGGCCAGACTATACATCCTGTCTGTTTCTCAAGGCCTCACTAGATAATCTTAACCAGTTTTCATGTATGTTTGTCCCTAAGCCTCCCCACTAACTCCATACAACAAAAAGCCGGATATCAGGGCTGAGTAGAAGCGTCCCCAGTTCCATGCCAAAGTTAAATGGACACTCCAACCAAGAACGGCCAGAATGCAGAGTCCGCACAGAAGGTCAACACCTGCCATGATGATCTATCCGTCACCACAGAGGCACCCCAAAGAAGCTCTTCAAGACCAACCTTCAGAGACTAAATATCCCAATGAGCTTCAGGAGGAACTCAAGCCATCATTTTTGATAAGTAACCCCTCCCCTCCATTCCTGTGTCAGCCACTCAAATGTACAAATTTTTTTTCTAACCAAACCATTAACCAGTTTCTTTTGCAGGGCTAGGAGCCTACCATTCCTCCCCAATATATAACAAAAGGGAGGAATGTGAGAGTAATTCCAACATCCCATCCTGGACCCTGGCACCACTTCCTGCTTCCTTTTCCCACAGCTTGTGAAATTTGCACTGTTCCAGTCATGCACCACCAATGAGATGTAACTTCATGTCTTACTTGAGAACTTCACTCACCATCCTCTCCCAGTTCCTCTCCCCTTAACACTTTCCCCAACTTCCAATCTCTCACTAGGGAAGGCTTGCTGCACCAGCCTCTACAGTCTCCTGACGTCACTCTTTCTAGCAGATGGTAGCTCGGTGTCCGACCTGCATGGTTGCACCATGCAGCCTTTGTGGTAGTCATTCCTGAGTCCGTCCTGGAGGCCAATTGCCTCCTCATTCTGCCATCTGGCAGGAGAGGGAATTCCTTACCACCAAAAGAATGCCCGTCACCAATGCCTCACTCGCTAACTTTTCCTGCCCAATGTTTTCCACTGTTTCTCCTCAAGAAGCCCTTAAGCTTAGGTTGCCTACTCACCAGCCGCAAGGACATCAACTGGGCGAGAACTGGCAGATTGATTTCACCTGTGTGCTCACCCACAAAAGCTTCTGCGAGAACACGTGGACTGCTATCTTCCAGACCCGGCTGCTACCACACCATCAGACCCCCTCTCCTCTCTAGCCTGGTGATTGGTCCTCCTCAAGACCCTCCACCCACACAACCTCAGTGGACCAGACCTCACTCAGGTTTTAACATCTGGGAATCCCTGCTAGTAACCTGGCTCCTGCCTATAGTAACCCTACTAATAATTATAGGCCTTTTATTCACAATTGCCCCTTGTTTTCTAAGGTTCGCCAAAGAAAAAATCCACGAAGCCTCATGGGTCACTCTCAACCAACTGTTACTCCACCCCTTTGTTCCAATGCCTACTGAGCCCTCTCTGGACCATAATTAGGGACTATGACCCTCTCCTGCAGGAAGTAGCCAGAACGACTTTGTCACCTCTTTTCCTATGACCCAGTGTCCAGAATGATGGCTGCCCAGGGCACTGGAGACGAAGGGCTGGTTTGCTCCGGACCCGGCATGTCTCCCAGGCTTCAGCCTGGAACAGGAGGGGCCACAGGAGCCAGTTATGTCACTGGCCTGGCGGGATTTCAGCCGACCAATGGCACACCTGAACGGACATTCCTTACATAGTTAGGGGGCATATACAGCCCCTTTGGCAGCCCATGTGCCTAGAGAGGTATTAAACTCCTCAACACGTATCTCAGCTACCCCTTTTCACCCCCATCTTCCTTCCCTTCTGTGCAAAGGGGCCTGCGAGTGGATTTTCCAATAAAGCTTCCAATACAACTTTGAATAACTTGCTGATATTATTCCACCAGCGGGTGGACAGTCAGTGGTCATCATCTAATAGGTGGCAACATGTGCACATTGAAAAAATGTTTTCAAATTTTCAAAAACAAAAACAACAAAACCCTAAACTGGTCTTTTTGGCCTGAAATTCTCACTTTTGTAAGTCTATCTCAAGGCAGCAATCAGAAATACAGCCAGTGGTTTACAGACAGGAATGCTCATCTCTGTATCACTCTGGAAGCAATCTGAGCACCCAACTCCTAGGAGTCAATTATAACAGGATGGTGAATACAGCTTTTAGAGACAATGTGTATAAAAACTGTTACATGGCACCACTTCTATGTCAAGGGCCCAGAAGAAAGACACTAAGTATTTTAAAATGTTGGTATCAGCTCTGATATTTCTGGATGGCAACGATACAGGCACTTGTTCATTTCTTCTGTTTTAAAAATCCCTCAGAATTATACATTGTTTTTATGAACGAATAAAACCAGGAAAACTATCATAAACAACCTTATTAATTAGATTAAAAAGGGACTAAGCTGGAACGAAATTTGGGACGCGAGAATAGGTGCGGCACTGAAAGAGGGCTGGGATAAGAAACACTTCAGAACAGCCTTGGGGAGGGCTCGGATATGAAAAGTTATCATTACAAAGCGCAGTTCTTCACAAGGGACAAAAAAGGAAATATACCCATTTTTTCTTTTTCAAGAAAGTCTGAGTTTACAGATGGAAAGAAATATTAACAGAAGCGAGATGCTGCTGGTCAGCATCTGTTTCCGCTGAAGCAGCTCTTCCGCAAGCCACAAACACATACTTGTTTGGAGTGCGCATAGGACCCTGTTGCATAAGAGCAGAATGGTGGTGAAGAGCAGACCGACTGGTAGGACACACAGTAGCCAGGGAGGCAGGGTGGGCAGGCCCCAGAACCGCCCTGTGTGTCGGTGGAAGGTGAAATATCTCAGAGTGGCTGCAGGAGGTCGGCGGGGGGTGGGGCCTGGGCTGGGCACTCAGAGAGAGGAGGTACTCACAGACAAGAGGTGCCAAGTCCACAGGGACACTCATGAAAAGCGGGAGCTGGCAATGAGCCTCAGGGGCTGGCGCCTTAGTTCTTGCCGGCTCTCCAACATCAGGTTCCAGAAATGAGGACAGAACTCCGAGAGATGGCAGCTCCGCGGTCCCGAGCTCAAGTGCCGCTTGCACTCCGAGTTCTTGCCTAAGTAAACAGTTTGGGTCCATGATGTCACTCTCAGCTGATTTCACTTTCGTTTTTTAGTTTGCTGGTGGCCTAGGCACTTTTGAGAAATAAGGAGCGTAAACAATTCTCTGTGGTTCACCAGCCCCCACTCTGACCTGCAAGGGAAGCCATAAGCTTTTGAAGCCGTAAGCATTTAAAGAGCCAGGTCAAGGTCTTAAGTTATGTCACGAGGGTTAAAGGGGCCCAGGTTGAAGCAGCTAGAACATGCATTTAATTTCAAAAGACGAATGTGACAAAGTTTTCATTTTTGAAATCCTGAGTTTGGGCCAGATTTTTGTTGTTGTTGTTCTGGATTTTTAGGGTCTCTCTTTTTCTGTAGGTGTCCTTTCCCCAAAGGAAAGGTTTTAGCTTAGTCTTTTTTTTTTTTTTTTAATTTATTTACTTTTATGTAAAAGGAAGAGTTAGAGAGAGAGAAGGGGAGACAGGGAGAGATTTTTTTCTATCCACAGGTTTATTCCCACAATGCTGCTGCAGCCAGAACTACGATGGCCCGAAGCCAAGAGCCAGCAATGTTTTCTGAGTCTGCCACGTGGGTGCAGGGTCTCAAGCACTTGGGCCCTTCTCTGCTGCTTTCCCAGGCACATTAGCAGGGAGCTGGATTAGAAGTGGGGCAGCCGGGACATGAACTGGCACCCCCATGGACACCGGCCTCGCAGGCAGAGGCTCTACCTGTAATGTCAGGGTACCAGCTCCAGGAAAGGTTTTTGAAGCACTAAGTTTCCAATGCTTCTCTCTCTCCCTCACCCTTCTTTTAAACTTTGGGAAGAACTGACATGATCTAGGCATAGAAAGAACAGGTGTTCTGGCATTATGATGCCGGGAGTTAAGCCACTGCCTGTGATGCTGACTCAAGTCCCTGCCATTCCTCTCAATCATCTCTCAGCTCCACTCCAGAAAGGCAGGGCCCACCTGTTTGGGGCCTTGGCACCCACAGGGGAGTGCCAGATGCAATTCCTAGCTGCTGGCTTTGGTCTGGCCTAGTCCTTGGCACTTGTGGCTATTTGGGGATGAACCAGTGGAGGGAAGTGCGCTCGCTCTCTCTGCTTTCAAATGAGTAAATACATAGAAAAGAAAGAAAAGAAAGAAAGAAAGAAAGAGAGAGAGAGAAAGAGAGGGAGGGAGGGAGGGAGGGAGGGAGGGAGAGAGAGAGAGAGAGAGAGAGAAAGAAAGAAAGAAAGAAAGAAAGAAAGAAAGAAAGAAAGAAAGAAAGAAAGAAAAGAAAAAGAAAGGAAGGAAGGAAGAGAGAGAAAGAAAGAAAGAAAGAAAGAAAGAAAGAAAGAAAGAAAGAAAGAACATGGAGTGTCTTTGGGATCATAAGAGAGTTTTAAACCCTCTGGGCGTTGATCCACCATCTGTGAGGCAGAAACGATACCTCCTGTGGGAACTGGAGGCATTGTACCTACACGCTTACCTACACGCTTACCACAGTCCTGGGCACACGGTAAGGACGCAGGAGACAGCAAGGGTAACTGGGGAAGTTGAGAAAGGCAAGTTGGCTAATTTCTTTTGTAGCCTGTTTCACTCCTGCAACCTCAGACAGGTGAAATTCCCTTGGAAACTGTAGGTCAGAAGGTTTGCAGTCAGGGAATCTCTAAGGGCCCCTTGCCCAGCAACCACCCTTACAAACACCCACTTCCTTGATCTTGGCTTTGGGTCTTGAGCTGCTTCCACTCGCTTATGAAGTGTAGCTTCTTTCCCTATAATAAACCCTTGCTGTTAGACTTATTCTCTGCATACGCTTCATTCAGTTGGTCGTCCACGGTGCCGAAGATCCTGGTCCACACTGCTGGCTTCCATCCTTACCACTGTGATCGCAGAAAGCAGGGTTTCTATAGTTCTGTGCTTGCCTTCCTGTTAATGCCTTCACTTTCAGGACTGGTATGAATCAGTTACTCTGAAACTGAAACAAAGCAAATAGAAGATGCAGAAATAGATATAATGAAGGTGTCCCACCCACCTTCCTCTGTATCTGACCCTCCCCACCCTAATCAGAAGCCCACATGGGCCTGCATCCCTCTCAACTATGTAAACAATATGGAAATAAATAAATAACAACATCTAAAAGTATATTGAAAGGTTTTGAGATGACAGCGTGCCTAGTTTTTAAATAAACAGTCCTTCAAGATTGGGTGTGATGGGCGTGGCCTAGCAGCTAAAGTCCTCACCTTGAACACGCCCCGGGATCCCTTATGGGTGCTGGTTCTAATCCCGGAAGCTCCACTTCCCATCCAGCTCCCTGCTTGTAGCCTGGGAAATCAGTGGAGGATGGCCCAAAGCTTTGGGACCCTGCACCCATGTGGGATACCCGGAGGAGGTTCCTGGATCCTGGCCTCGGATCGGCATAGCATCGGCCATTGCTCTCACTTGGGGAGTGAATCATCGGATGGAAGATCTTCCTCTCTGTCTCTCCTCCTCTCTGTATATCTGACTTTCCAATAAATAAATAAATCTTAAAAAAAAAAAAAGATTGGGTGTGAGATCAGTAACCGCAAACTCTCGCTTGGCATTAAAAGGCAAGCACTATGGGCCCGGCGCGGTGGCGCAAGTGGTTAAAGGTCCTCACCTTGCCGCCCGGGATCCCATATGGGCGCCGGTTCTAATCCCGGCAGCCCCGCTTCCCTTCCAGCTCCCTGCCTGTGGCCTGGGAAAGCAGCAGGGGACGGCCCAAAGCTTTGGGAACCTGCACCCGCGTGGGAGACCCGGAAGAGGCTCCTGGCTTCGGATCGGCATAGTATCGGCCCGTTGTGCTCACTTGGGGAGTGAATCATCGGACGGAAGATCTTCCTCTCTGTCTCTCCTCTCTGTATATCTGCCTTTCCAATGAAAAAAATAATAAAAATAAATCTTTAAAAAAAAAAAAAAAAGGCAAGCACTTTCTCCTGACTTGAGCTGGTCCCAGGTTTGGATGGCTAGTACCTGATTTTTCAGTTTCAGGTGTGACTTACGGGTGCGCCACTAACAGTACAAGCTGAAAATTCAGCCTTGTTTTTCCTGACATTGCATCCCACATATGTGCAACTCATCTCCCTCCTCTAACCTTTGTTTAAGTCATTCTTCAGTGTTTACAACAGCGTAAGCAAGCTGTGTAAAAGCTCCTGCTCACCTTTCTGAACCATACACAGACAGTAATAAACTTGTACTTATGTAGATTTTTCTATTCATACATATGTACATCATACATACATACATTATAGGATAAATTTGTGAATTAGGTACAGGGAGAGGTTAATGATCGCTAATGATAGAATAAAATATAAAATATTATAAGACACTTAGTAAAACTTAGGTGAATGTGACGTTTTTTGGAATTTTCCACTTAATACCTTCAGCTCACACTAATTACTGGTAAATAAAAATCACAAAAAGTAAGACCACAGATAAGGCACACTAGAGTTCATTGTTCCCAAACCTGTTTCTGAAATAATCAAACCAAACATTAATAAAGGCAAGTTTTCTGGCAATAAAACACATCTCACAACTTACAAGGAACACCATACTTAAAAGGTGGCATGGGGTCGGGGGAGGGGCTGATGCTGTAGCACAGTAGGCTAAGCCACCACATCCCAGCTAGGTACCCATCTGAGTCCAATTGCTCCACTTTCGACTCAAATACCTGTGTGGCCACCTGCAGGAATGAACCAATGGATGCAAGGTATATCCGTGTGTCACTACCTCTCTGCAACTCTGCCCTGCAAATAAGTAAAGCTTGCTAAAAATTTTCCTTCCACAAATTTAGCAAGAATCATCAAATCATATTTCAACTGTCTTTCAGTGAACTATGGTGGGGCGGGTGTCCGGTCTAACAAACAGCCACCTCATATCACAGGCTGCAAGTCCCAGCCTCAGCTTCCGGCTCAGCTTCCCGCTGACGCAGACTGTGGGAACGTCAGATGGAGGCCCAAGGAGCTGAGTTCCTGCCACCTGTGTGGGCTCAGCCTGAGTTCCCAGCTGCTGGCTCCACTGCATCGCTGCACTGCTTCAGCAGGGAACCAGTGCACGTGAGTGCGCTAGCCATCTCGCCCTGGCTCACAGATGACCTACAAAAAGAAAAAAAACCCAAGGAAGAAAGGAAAACACCAAGGACCTCCACACTACAGCAGAGAAAAATTTATAAAGATTCTAACAGCTTTTATTTCAATGGTGCAAGGTGGTATGGCATTCAACACTCACCAACAACAAATTATCATCGTCTATAAAACAGCTCCAGAAGGTTCAAACAAGAATCAAAACATACATGATCGACAGTAATTCTCATACAATACTCTTCAAGTGTTCAAACTTCATGCCGCTCCAATAAAGTGTATTCATGTTCTAGCAAACACACAGCAAGAAGAGTTTACTCTGTTATACTGTCTGTCTAAAAACACATCAGCACATGCCTCACAATTAAAAACTTAAAAACTACGCACTCCAGGACAGCAGTATCTCTTCGTGCTTAGGGTCAGTCAGTTGTACCAAATACCATAAATACAAAATGATAGGAAATATAAACATCGATTTGTATTTCAAGTTTATAACATTTTATTTACAAAAATAGCTTGGGAGGAAAAGGGTTTACAATCCCATGTCTTCTGGGGGGAGGGGGAGGATGAACTGTTTTGCGCCATCTTCTAGTGGTTTCTTTTTTTCCCCCTAACAATTTTTCAAGCTGCATTTGAATTCCTTCAGAATGACATCAGTCAACTAGGAGCCTGAGGGGGGAGGAGGAGAGAAGATGGAGCGAGGGAGGAGAGGGAGAGGTGAGGGAAGGAGGGGTACACAACAGTCGCACGTATGTCGATGGCTTGTACTGAAAGGACTCCGTGCTGTGCCTCATGCACTGGGCAGCGCGAGCACGCCGCCCGGACACCAACACCAGACGTCGCTATGTTCGGAAGGACACTTGCTCCCCACTATGGCACGATCGGATGCTCATCAAGGCAGACACTAAGACATGACTCCGAAGACAGGGTTGTGGCGGCAGATACCCGGGCCGTATTCCTCGTAGTCCTTCTTGGCATGGCAGACCTGGAAGAACTCCGGCTGCCGGAGGCAACAGTGACAAGTAAACCACCAGGCAAACGGCAAGTTCTCCCTCCCCAAAGCCTCCCCCTCTCCCGGCCACGTGTGCAGGAGAGTGACCCTTCGGATACACTAGACCACCTGATGGCGTTTACTTCGTTTTTATTCGTTTCAAAGGTTTATTCACCCCATTAATCCGGCACCCACTATATAAAGGCTCCATACGGATAGGGTGTCAGTTATCAACAAACTTGAAAGGAGAAAAAAAAAAAAAGTAAAAATTAATTGTAAAAGTCACTGGAATTATCGACAAATACAAGATATTTTCTTTCTTTTATATTATATTTTGGATTTCAATTATTCGTGTTATCTACAATCCCTAATTAGCAAGAATACTTGCAAATTAGCTGTGCAATTTAAGTGCTCATTAAATTAATTGCTAGGCCTATCAGAATTAAGTGTGTGTGTTTAGAGCCACAGAATTAGAACACATGCTATGTAGCTTCCTAGATAACAGGAGATACTTTAAATTCAAGGGAAAAAAAATGGAATAAAAAGTTTATTTTGTTGGAAAGGTTTCTGAAACCAATGCAGGTTTTTTGCGGTATCATTTTCCATGAGATTCTTGACCACCTGTCACAGTGGACAAGCTGAACGGAGGCTGCAGAAGGGAGATGAGATCCCACAGTCTGAAGGGGACTTACGGTGGACGCCAGCATCGAGCCTCCGAACCACACGGCGTAGCGCTGCATGTGATGGGTGATGACCTGCACCTCCACGGGCTTCGGCTGCAACACAGCGAGCCAGGCTTAGGCCACGGCCCAGACGGCTGCTCTAACCCCTCCCAGGTAACAGGATGCTGCTCCTTCTGGGCCTCCCCTCCATCTTCCCTCACACCGTGGTCCTCTGGTGGTGGTGGCACCAATCGCATGCACAGTGCAGGGCCCCCGTCGCTAGCCCTGGGGAAGGCAGGCAGGCAGGACCACTGCAGGGCATTTTCACACACTGAAAGCCTCACGACAAGTAAAAACAGCCAAGCGACTGAGGTTTATTTTCCTCCCAAATGAGATGGTTTAGCACTGTAGAGTAATTCCAAATAACACTAGCCACCCCAAAGATACTGAAAAAAAAAACACCTGTCGTTTCCCGAGCAGCGGACCCACTTCAGCGGGCTCTCTCGGCTTCCACTTTGCCTATCAAGAGCAATCTTAGTTGGAATTCTAAATAAAATCAGCAGCCGTTACAGTATGGAGAAACAGGGTGCAACTCCCTGCTAATGTTGGTTATTTTCATCTAATCAGAACTCGTCGCAAGGACACTAAAGATCCTAATTCTGAGTTAGCCCCATCTCCTTGGGACAGCGTCCTTGTACCACAGGCCTGACCCCTTACACACACACACACTGCTGGCAAGGTAGGGCTGGGGAACATCCAGTTGCTGCGGCTGCATCATGAGGTGCATCAGCTTGAACTGCCTGTCTGGGACAAGTGCAAGTAGCAAACCTTTGTTACAATTTCACAGTGTGGCCAAGTACCTCAAATCTCTATTTCAAGAGGAAGAGCTCCTTCAGCTGGTGTGTCAGGGAGCAGGAGCCCAGCCCGACGCTGCTGCAGGAAGCTCGGTGCTTCAGCACCCTCGCACTTCCCGGTCCCCTACCTTGATTCTGCCGCCACTCAGCTCTTCACTCAGTTTTAGTCTGGCATCCACCACTCTTTTTAGATCTCTCTGTAACCGACGTCCGAAATCCCTGAACATTGTAGAACCTCCTGAAAGGACGACGTTCTGGAAAACACAAAGCACAGGACGCCCTGGATGAACCGACACCCACAGGGCTCCACGCCGTCCACACAGCCAGTCTGTGGAGTGACACGCTGACCATATGAACTGCCAACCATAGGGTTCCACGCTATCCCACAACAAAACTCCACACAGCCAGTCATCCATGAAGTAACACACTGGCCCTAAGTGAAAAGGCTGTTTTTAACTGTTTTAGTTAAAAAACTAAAGCCATCAAAAATGTGTAAGTGGTAATTTTCTTCTCCTCTGACAACCCGTCACAAATTGTTCCTCTAAGCCCTCTCCCTCGACCTAATCAAGTGTAAACAAAGTAATTCTGTGCCCATGTTTCCCCCCTGGGCCATGCAGAACCATCAGAGATGGTTTGGTCTTTGGTCTTTGAACTAACTCCAGACCTTCAGCAGTTTTGCCTGAGTAAACCCTGGGGCAAGCAACACTCTTAAGAAGGGTGATGTTGGGAAAGCGCCCAGATTTCTGGAGAGACTTTTCCAATGAGCTGTCCTCCTTGCCCATTCCCCTCCAGCATCCTGCGACAACTGAGTGGTCACAGCAGGACCACTTAGTGGGGGGAACACGAAGGACACTAGACAGCCTATCAGACTCTGATGAGAGGTAAAACGTTCTCTCAGGTTACAGGATACTACTTAGGACAATGGAACTGAAATTAAGTTACCTTGATTTAACTTTCTTACAGAAAAAAAAAAAATCACCTGAGAAAATGATGTTTAGAAAATGAAAGAATCCTTCAAGAAGCCAGAAGACTTACTGCAAAGGTTCCCTAGCCCCCTGAGCTCCACCTCTGCTCTTCCTGAGTGTCGCGAGTCACTGAAGGATGACAGGTTAGCAGAGATCATAAGGAAGTTGGGTGAGGAGAACACACGTTTCTGTCCCTGTCGTCAGGTTATCTGAGACGGGAGTGGTCCTTTCCTGCCACTGTTGTCCTTAGCGAAGATGGCCAGCACTGAGCAGAACGGGTTCTTGTTCTTACATGCCAACCTCTGGAACGGCTGTGGCAGCACCCGTGGACTCAGGACAGCTGAAGTCAGAGGAGGCTAGGAAGCCAGCTCTTCTGCTGATGGTCCACTCCAGTTCCACCCTGAGCATCCCTACAGAGAATATCTGCTTCTAATCACCAATAGGTTTTTGATGACCTCAAACAAGTTCTGAGTGGGAAAAAACCATCAGATGCTAAGGCTTTTACATTACCTTGTCCAGGGACAGGCTGGTGGTCACCTGTGGTCTCATCATGCTGCATTAACATTTGTTTTTAAACCTGTAAGAATCTCAACTCTTAATATATTTTTAAGGAAGGATCTGGGCTTGATTTGAGGGCCAGGAATGTGAGGTGGTTCTGGGACAAACTTGAGGGCTCTTCATAGCTGTGAGGAGTATTCCTGCAGTCCAACCCCCTGATGGGCTGGTTTCATTAGGCTAGGGAATCCTGAGACCTGCCCTGTGTACTGGGGAGCAGTGCCAGGTGGGACCATGGCGGTAGTGCAGCCCTGCCCTCTTACCACACTGCATTATGTTGCCATCCTCGTTTTCCTCTATTTTTGGGCTAATTCATCCTTTTCATTTCTTCCTGACTGCCTCAAGCACTACACTGGCAAGCAAGAAAGGTCAGTAGTTTTCTAAGAATAGGCAAGTTGGAAAGCTGAAGCTTAACATTAACCTCAGGTCAAACAGGGTTAGCACTTCCGTATGAACCAGAATTTATGAATGAGTATTTAGTTCTCATTTTGAATTCCTTTCTCCCTTACTACTTACCCTCCCTCTCTCCTTCCTTCATTGAACAACCATGCTTGGTAGCCAAAATAAACATCGTTGCAACCAATATTGAACAAGTACCTGTTACAAAAAAGGCACTAATCTACAGAAGCTAACTTCAAAGGCCCCACAGTGTGCTAAGAGTAAACACTGTTACACAGATGCTAGAGCCAAGTGCACCGGAAAAAATGCTTCTATCTCCTGACTCTGGAAATCCTTAGAGGCCTATCAACTCAAAAAGGATGAAACTTGAAAAATATACTATGACACTGGAGTTATGCATTTACATTTAGGATCAAAAGCCCTGATAACAGCCAGGTCATTTCAGGAGCAGGTGTCCTGTAAGGAAACTCACCACCCAGGAACAGGCGGAGGCCCAACAGCCATTTTTTATGGTAGACTGAGTCAGGCTGGCTCTTTTTTTTTTTTTTTTTAAGATTTATTTTATTTTTATTGGAAAGGCAGATATACAGAGAGGAGAGACAGAGGAAGATCTTGCGTCCGATGATTCACTCCCCAGGCGGCCACAACGGCTGGAGCTGAGCCAATCTGAAGCCAGGAGCTTCTTCTGGGTCTCCCACGCGGGTGCAGGGTCCCAAAGCTTTGGGCCGTCCTTGACTGCCTTCCCGGGCCACAGGCAGGGAGCTAGATGGGAAGCGGGGCTGCCAGGATTAGAACCGGCACCCATGTGGGATCCTGGGCATGCAAGGCGAGGACCTTAACCACTGTGCCATCGCGCCAGGCCCAGGCTGGCTCTTTTTTACTGTTAAATATGACATGAGCCCAAAAAGCCTAGCTCGGCATGGAGTGGAGCTCCGTGTGGCTCTACACTCCACAGGTCAGCACAGTTCACCCGATCAATGACAGTGAGCTTTAAAAACATGCAATAAAACAGAACTGGAAGCAAATAACAACATGAAAATTGGCAGCATCCAGGATAGCTCTCTTTATAGAGAAAATTCTAGAGAAGTTGGGAAATTCAGAATATCAGAGGTCAGAAATGACTCAGTAAACATTATGAACCTGGAACATGAAAGATAGCAAAAGAGAAGAAATAAAAACACTAATCTGGGGATGATCTGAATAAAGATTATAATAAGATTTGTCTACACAATTACAGCATATAAAATGTCTATTCTAACTTCACAGCAATGACTAAGGTTGAAGCAAACAAAAGGCCCTGAACTGAATCAATTAAGACACTTAAAGAGGCAAGCGAAGGGATGACAGAGAAATAGATCCCACGTGAGCAGGTAAGTGGACAGGACAGCTCTCAGCACCAGTGCACAGATAGCTATCAGAAGTCACACTAGGTGGACAAGGAGGTTGTCTAGATGAGTCTATTGCTCTAAGGTAGGGGATTTCACCACCACCTGTGCTACTGGCATCCCACATCAGCGCTGGTTTGAGTCCTGGCTGCTCCACTTCCAATTCAGCTCCCTGCTATTGTCCTGGGAAAAGCAGTGGAGGATGGCCCAAGTGCTAGGGTTCCTTTACCCACATGGAAGATCCAGAAGTCCCTGGCTCCTGACTTCAGCCTGGCCTGGCCACGCCTTGGCCACTGTGGTCATCTGAGGAGTAAACCAACAGATGAAAAATCTCATCTCACCAATCCTGCCTTTCAAATCAATATTCTTAAAAACAAAAAGAAAGTGGACAAGGTGGCCCTCAGCATCACACGGTGCACAGGACAGCTTGTGCACAAGACTCAAGAATGATGAAGCAGAAAAAAGAAAACTAGGTTTTCAGAAATGTCGTAAATGTGTTCAAAATTCAACCTGGCTGCTTAACAGCTACAAGTTCGAACCTAGTACCTCAAAACTCAACTTTCTGATGTGTTCAAGGACCTATCAGGGGTCTCCAGTGTGGTTGCCAAGCGGCTAAAGTCCTCACCTTTAACGCACCAAGATCCCATATGGCTCCCTGCCTGTGGCCTGGGAAACCAGTTGAGGATGGCCCAAAGCCTTGGGTTCCTGCACCTGCGTGGGAGACTCAAAGGAAGTTCCAGGCTCCTGGCTTCGGATCGGCACAGCTCTGGCTGTTGCGCTCACTTGGGGACTGATTCATCAGACGGAAGATCTTCCTCTCTGTATATCTGACTTTGCAATAAAAATAAAAATAAATCTTAAAAAAAAAAATAAAAAGAACTCATCGGGGACTGGAACGGTGGTACAGCAAGAAAATCCTCTGCCTACGATGCGGGCAGTAATGCGGGTGCCAATTCAGCCCCTAACTGCTCCACTTCTGATCCATCTCCCCGCTAATGCAGCTGGAGAGACAGCAGGAGCTGGCCGAAGTGCGTGGCCCTACAACCACATGGAGACGCGGCTGCAGCCTGGCCCAGCCCTGGCCGTGGCAGTCACCTGGGAAGTGGAGAAATGAAGGGTTCCCTCTTTTCTTTCTCTCTCCCCACCCCCCCCATTCTGCCTTTCAATTAAATATTTTTTTTAGAAAAGAATCTATTAAAGTCCCTGCACACAGAAGCCTTGTTTAACATGTAACAGCAGACTAAAATGCTGGTCTCTTGAGGGTCTGTCTCATTTGTATTTGTGAAATGGAAATAGAAACAGGAATTACTGCATAGGGTAATTATCAGAAAAGGGCTTAATCCAGCTCTTCACACATATAAACTTTCAATAAATCATAGCTATTAAAGGATTTTTAAAAGTCTGTAATTAATGACAAGATTTCAAATAAATACTGTGAGAGGTGGTGAATTTTTTTTCTGCTAAGAGCCGTCTGGATATTTATGGCATTTGCAGGCCATGTAAAATTACCAACCTAAACAGCTGCCTGCTAGAGAGTTATTGAATTCAAAGTCTTGCATGCAGTTGCCTAGCCAGGACCAGATCAAATGATCTTGTGGGCCTTACACTACCCAGGAACCAGATGTTCCCCACCCCTGGAACTTCAGACGAAGAAACTCCCATCATTTCTGAATGGCAACAGTGCAGGGTCTGGAGAACAATGAGCCACCAAAAACGACAAGTCTGAAACGAGCAACCACTTAAATGACATTTGTAAGGTTAATCATTTTCTTCTACTCTCTCAGGAACAGGATGGTGAAATTACGGGGGACCAGCACCGTGGCACAGCAGCCTTGGCCTCCCATAGGAGTATCACCAGTTCAAGTCTGGCTAGCATACTTCCAACAGAGCTGCTAATGTGCAGAACACTCTGTACTCACATGGGAGACCCACAAGAAGCTCCTGGCTCCTAGCTTTGGCCTCGCCTGGTCTCCAGGAGCAAATCAGCAGATGGTATGTATGTACATATCTCTCTCTCATCTATCTCTGCCTCTCCTTCCCTCTCGCTCTAACTCTGCCTTTTAAGTTTGTTTTTTAAAGAAAGAAAGAAAATCTAAAACCAGAGCAGCTATCCAGGGGCATCTTTTAGGAGCTACCACAGGAGCATCAGCAGTGTGATGCTAGACCACCTCCCAGACCACCTCCCAGCTCTCTGGTAACTTGAACATCTCCAGATTGGGGACTGGATAAGAGTACTAGGACTAAGAGAATAACAAGCAGGGCTTATCAGGGACAGAGGCTGAGGAGGCCACACAGCAGTCAGCTGGAAGGTTCAGGAAGAAGGTGGAAATGTGAGGTTGATCTCCAGATCAGTGAAGGGAGATCCTGCACCCGCTGCATCAGGCGCCCTCATAACCAGCCCCTCAAACCATGCTTCTCTCCTCCATGAGCCATTACCCTCCCCATTTTCAATCCTTTCTCAGGGTTAGGTATTAAGTCCTGTATACAAACACAGCCTTATGGGATGTACCTACATCCCTACATCTGACAGAAAAGCAGAAATGATTCCAAATTCCTGCAGTAGTCGCACATTGTTCTCAATGCTTACATTGTCTCCTCAGTTTATGAAATTTCCTTGAGTTCAAAGTTCTCGCATTAAATGCAATGCCATTTAATTCCAAAAATGCAAATGGCATCATGGTGAAATTATTAGTAAAAGAGAGGCACAGCCACCTTAGTAGCGGACAAAGCAGATTCCTCAAAGGACACTGGATAAGCATCATGGCATGAGTAAGGAAGGCCTTAGCTTTTTCTGATACAGTTAGTCATTGCATTTGGTTTAACTTACTTGCCCTTCCACAGTGATGAGCTTACAGAATTTCTCCTATGACAAGAGAGAAAAGTCCCTCCTCCCCCTCAACTGCCGGGAAGACAAACTCCCAGTACGATTAGTTTCATTTTACCAACGTCTCTAGCTTCTATCATCTTTCCAAACCCTGGGCTGCCACTGCCTGTGGAATCAAGCAATGGACATAAGTTCATCCTGTAAAATTCACCGAAATACGTGAACTGCATTATCAAATGAGAAAACCCTCATTCCATCACGAGCGATTTGTGACAGTTCCATTTTCTTTATGAGGAATCAAGGCTCTCTAAAATGTGTGCACTTGTTACATCTTACACTGACAATAAAACGCAGCCAATGTTACGTGAGATTTCAGAAGTGGAAAGGGAAAACCATAACTACTTAATACCTTCACAGTCTAATCTCTCCTTAATTTCCCCTTCTTAGAAAGGAGTTGAATCAAGGCTACTAAACAAATAATAATAGAATTACAACTTTGCTTTCTGGTCCTAAAACACAGCTTAGCTAAGAAAATATTATCCAGTTACGAAAGCCCTATTTGTTGACTATAACATTTCAAACACATTTAAAGCAAAGAGAAAGTAGAAGTTATCCGTCATCTCACCTGCAAAGATACTTTCTTTGCTTCAAGAGTAATAGGGCCAGTATTGTGGCGTAACAGGTAAAGCCACCATCTGAGATGCCAGCATCCCATATGGGCACTGGCTTGTGTTCCCACAGCTCCATTTGTGATCAGCTCCCTGTGAATGGCCTGAGAAAAGTAACAGAAGATGGCCCAGCTACTTGGGCCCCTCCCCTGCCACCTGCATGGGAAACCCAGAAGAAGCACCTAACTCCTGGCTTCGGCTTGGCCTAGCCCTGGCAGTTGCGCCCATCTGGAAAGTGAATCAGCAGATGGAAGATCCTCCATCTCTCCCCACTCAATCACTCTGATTTTTAAATAAATAAATACACCTTTAATAAAAAGTGAAAAATATCTATCAATCAAAATAGGCAAGCTATATTTTACATAAAATGGATTATATGTAAAATGTATAAGTTGCTTCTTTTTACTTAAGATATATTTCTAGATCTCTTTTTGTTTGAATCCATTGACTAACCTCATCCTTTTCCAAGGTCTTCTGGTATTCCATTGCAAAGACAGCACAAGGGCCAGCATTATGACACAGCAGGTAATCCAGCACCTCTGACAACAGCATCCCACAAGGGCACTGCTTCATGTCCTGGCTACTGCTTCCGTTACAGCTCCCTGCCAATGGCCTAGCAAAAACAGTGGAAAACGGCCCAAGTGTTTGGGCACCTGCCACTTCTCTGGGAGATGCAGATAAAGGTCTTGGCTCCTGTTTTTGACTTGGTTCAACCCTGTTTCTACAAACATCTAGGAGTGAGCCAGCAATACACTTTCTCTCCATCTCTGTTTTTTTTTTTTTTCTGTAAACTCTGCCTTTCAAACAAATCAATCTTTGGATTAAAAAAAGACAAAATAAAAGTTATTTAGTCTATATTGTAGAATCCAACTCTCTACACTTTAAAACTCATCTGGGATGGGCACTGTGGCACAGCAAGTTAAGCCTCTGCCTGCCACACCTGCATCCCCATATGAGGAACGCCTGGGATCCAATCCCAGCTCCTCTGCTTCTGATGCAGCTTCCGGTAACATGTGTGACAGGTACCATATGTTGGCCCAAGTACTGGAGTTCCTGCTACCCATGTGGGAAACTAGACAGAACTCTTGGCTCTTGGCTTTTGCCTCACCTAGTCCTGGCTGGTATGGGTACTGAAGAGAAAGGAACTAGCAAATGAAAGATCTTTTTCTCTCTTTCTCTTTTCTTCCCTCCCTCCCTTCCTCCCATCTTCCTTCCTTCTTTCTGTTCTCTCTCCCCTTCCCTCCCTCTGTCTTTTCCCTCTCTCTCAATCACTCTGCCCTTCCAAAAATACATCTTTAAAATGAAACTAACCAACGAAATTTGAACAAGTTGAAGTCATGAGGCTGAGTGACACGAGGCCAGGGTTGACTGAAGACGAACGAAAGCTAACTGGCAATCACTCTTGCTTTCAGTAACCTGCCTGTTGCTACATGACGGCATTTCCTGTAAGTCACTATGAGGACTAGATGTTCCTCATTCCAAGCTCCAAAATTCCAGGCCATCACAGAACTTTCAGAAAATAACTACATGAGTATATTCTACTATTTGATCGTTTCATTTTGGACAGTAACTTCTATCTGCCCACAGCGCATTAGCACTGAACTGAAATATGCAGGAACCAAGACCAGCCTTCAACAGAAGCATTAGAGGCATCACTTTTATATTTTTAAGAAGTATTTATTTTCATTTTAAAGGCAGATTTACAGAGGGAAGGAGAGACAGAGTTCTTCCATCCATCGGTTCATTCCCCAAATGGTCCAAACAGAGTCCAGTCTACCCAAAGCTGAGAACTGGAGCTTCTTCCAGGTCTTCCACTTGCATTCAAAGGCCTAGCCACTTGGGCCATTTTTTGTGGCTTTCCCAGGCACTAAGCAGGGAGCTGGATCAGAAGGGGGGCAGCTGGAACATGAACAAGAGCCTATATGGGATGCTGGCAATGCAGGCAAAGGATTAGCCTGTTATGCCACCATTTTTCTCTTTCAACTAATACGTAAGATGGTTAAAATTTCCCAACTCACAACTTGGTAGTTAAGAATAAAATGCACTGGGCCCAGAGTTTTGGCATAGTAGATAAAACTCCCACCTGTGATAGCAGCATCCCATCAGTTTGCCGATTTGAGTCTCGCACGGTCCATGTCTGATACAGCTCCCTGTTAATGTTCCTGAGATACTCCTTGGGCCCTGGCCCACATGTGCAACACCCAGAACAAACTCCTGATTCCTGGCTTCAGCCTTGCCTAACCCCAGCCGTTGTGGCCATTTGGGGAGTGAACCAGCTGACGGAAGCTCTCTGTGTCTCCCAGTCTCTCTAACTCTTCCTTTCAAATAAATACAGCTTTTTTTTTTTTTTTTAAAGAAGGGTAAAATATATTACAACTGCTGTATTAAATACTGCTAGTAAACTAAGTCATATTTTTAAACATTTTAAGTCAGCCTTCTTACAATTTAAATCCTTACAATTACACTAACAAATCCTGTAGAACAGAAATGTCAGCATATGAAGAACCTAGTCTAAGAATCACGTGCCTTTAATTCTGGAATGAAATCAAAGCACCTTACCCAATCGGCTTATACCTTATACAGCGGGCGCCGCACATCGATGGGACAATTCTGGATCACTCCGTCCACCACGTCTGAGATGGATTCCATAAAGTCTGGGTTGGCAAACTGAGGCGCGCATAAACACAGAAAAAACAGCACACGTTTCTCCCAAATCGAAACTGTACAAGTTATCTGTAGAAAGAAACTTAAGTAACACAGTTTACTATAACTCGAAAACACCTCAGGCTGCAGAGAAGGAGTCCCACAGGACAGATCACACGCACACGCAGCCACCCCCTGCGTCTCCTTGAGAGATGAAATGTGGGTTTAATTACGGACAGACCTGCCCCACGCCACGAACACACAGTAACTCACGCTAATGGGACAAAGGAGAGAGCATGCATGCGGTCGCTGTGATAGGCGATGAGAAAGAAACAAGCTTATCACGAGGAATATTATCAACACGAGAAAACGAAGGCGGGGCACAAGGTAAAAGAAGCATGTCCAATGAAAGCATGAACTTGACCTAGAAAATGGAGCAGCGGCTGCTTTACTTCCTGGGGGTCACTCTAAAAGGCAACCATCCACACAGCAACAGCTAGCGGAGTCAGTTCAGGGCTGAGTTAAACAAGCTGCTCAATTATACCTAAAGTATTTACTTTAAAGCCAAGGCAAGTGTCGGTGTCAGACACTCCAAGAGGAAGGACATCGCAGCATCCTTTTGTTTGTCACCTAATTAAATCTAAACTGAATGAGGCAGCAAAATAGACTCAAATATAAATTTGATACACTGTACCTAGAGCTTATAGTGTTGCCTCTTATTTTCTGCTTTCTTCTGAAGTGTTACTAATTTCTTGAGACGAGCAGTAAAAACGATGACTGTCTATAAACAGAAATGCCAGCCTCCCGACAAACGATCTACCTGGTTGGCTGCAAAGAACACAGGAGGACCAACTGTCCTGGTTAGAATCGGGTCAGGGAGGGTGATCAGAGAAGGTGCAGTGTTACCTGTCACCTCAGGCACACGGAGACAACCTGTGCGCAGCCCTGAAGGGGAACTGGCTGCCTCACTACAGGCAACTCCACCTTCTTGGGCTTCATGCTAATCCCATTATCTTCTATTGCTCTCACAACTTCTTCCTGACTTCTAGGCAGACAACTCAGTATATGGAGAGGCAAACTGAAGAATCAAGCAGACACACTGCACACGGGGCACAGGCATGGTATGCTGAGGGATTACTCAAAGATGGCCAGCTGGCTTATCCGAGTTTACTGAAAAGTGCTCTTCATGCACACTAGGTGGCGGTATTGCTCCATATACCCCCCACATTGTAACCAAAAAATCTCTTACCTCTGGGTGGAAGAAGATCTCAGGTCCCAGGAACCTTTCGTAACCAACATCTATAATGAACTTCTTCTGATTGATGGCATTGATACCCGTGTATTGTTTGATCCACTTCCGAGGATCCATGTCATATTTAGCAAATTCCTTTACTATGTCAGGGCAAATGTAACAGTACTTCTCCTGTGTACACATGAAGACATCAGCAAGCATTAACACCCACCCAGGGTTCCTGCCCTCTCTGACAACCACCCAGAGACTGCATGCATTACAACCCCCTGAAATCATATCCGCTCACACCAAGACAACAGTGCTTGTGCTACCAAGCCCTACAGTCCGCTGTCATTTCTACTAGACACTTAGCCTTTGGACAGGTCAGTCCGTGTTCTCTGCAACTCATGGAACAAAACACATACATCCTAGCTGAGAGATACTAAGGTGACTGTAGTTAAGCTGACAGGCACCATGAATGAAAAAGAAGAGCCATCAGGCAGGAGGGGCCACGTTGCCAGCAGGTGCCTGCTGCACAACTTGCTGTTACCACACTGGCCACAGCAACCAGAATGAGCTGTGTAAAGTGCTTCCTGGGATGTGGGGATGTGACGGCCTTGGTGATCCTCTTGCTGATCATCCTCAGCAGAGCAGCAGGTGACACCTGGGCACCAGCTTTGCAAAGCAAGCATCCCGGTGGGCACAACTCAGGTGGGCCCATGCAGCACACAGCGGATGAGCACCAGCTTGAACTCATTACGCATTCCAGAAGGAATGCCACCCTCAGTGACCTCTTTGGGACATGGAGATTCTCAGAATCTCTGAAACATTCTCATAACATCTTCTAGGTATCTTTGATCTGTAAGCAACTGAAATTGTTGGGCAAGAATTATTATATAACCAAGTTCTGTAAAGAGAGTGAGTGACATTTTGAACCTACCAAGCCTCCAGCTGTCCCTGAGGACTGGTCAACGCCCTAATGTACCTCAGCCCACCTAGCTGCTGTCAGGAAGTGCTTCCAGAAGGCTGGGTGCAGAACAACAGCGTGAACACAAGGTCTGCGTTCAAGGGCCTGGGATGCTGTGCTCACAGGAACAGCCGAGGCCCACACAGCAGGGAGGCAGAATCCAAAGCTCTTTCCAGGATCTTTGTCCTGACCAGCAGAAGTGAGTCAAGAACTAACAGGGTCAACGGACCCAACAGGCCAGAGCAGCTGACTGCAGAGTGCAAAGGGAGCCGCTTCTACCCACCCCTTACAGCTGAGCAGAACAGTCTTATCCTTGCTGTGCCAGCTCAGCTTTCAGTCAGAATGAAACCCAGAAAGGCAGAGAGCCAGACAAAAGCCCAGCATGGGGCTCAGGAAAGCCACCACCACGGGCACTCAAGACTCTCACGAACAACCCTGGGTGTCCCTAACTAAAGGGCCAATTCTGGTTCACATCTGTAGCAGATCTACGGTGGGTAAGGGGGACTGGGTCGATGCCAAACTTTCCTTCCACCGAAGAAAGCCAAAGAAAGGGGGAGAGAAAGTATCTGTAAAATCAGTTTAACTGGAGCGTTCATCACGGTACAGGTTAAGCGATGCCAGCTTCCCTCTTGGGTACCTGTTTCAAGACCCAGCTGCTCCTTTTTGGGTCCAGTTCCCACTAATACACCTGGGAAGGCAGAGGACAGTGGTTTGACCTTGCCAGGCCACAACAAGGTCTTACGTATGATGCCTCAGGAAACCTTCCCCTTAGCAGGGAGAAACCAGCACTTCTCCATTTGGCTAGAAATTCACTCTTTTAGTACTAACAGCTCTGCTGTCTCCCTCCCCTGCCACCTTTTCCCCTGTTCCTGGAACCTCCAGTCAGAGGCAAACTGGGACATGGGACAGCCTAGAGGCAGAAACCCCTACGACAGCCATGGCCCCCATCCCAGATCGCCAATCAGAACTTGAGAATCCTCTCCAGTGCCTTTTTTCCTTCAACCAACCTCAGCTTTGGGGAGCTTAGAAGGAAGGAGTGTTGGTGGGAGAAGAGGGGGATCAGACTCCCACGCCGCTCCCCACTCCCACTCCTCCAGAGCTCAAACAGAATAGTGCATGGCAAAACAGACACCCAAAGCCATGTTGCTGCCACTCCCAAACTTGAACTCTTCTCCCAAGACAAAATCCATGCCTCTTCATCTGTGTCATGATTCTTCCGGAATTACTAGGGATTTCTGGTTTGTTGGTTTGTTTTAATTGTCCTGACTTGGCAACCTGGGAGCAAAAGTTCCCTACACGGTATGCGTCACGCACGGAGTAGCACGAGAACCACACGAGGAGCGTGACAGACACATTCATCAACTTAGCATCCACATGCCAGCTTCCTTCTGGTCATCAGTGGGATCCTAGAGCTTGCTATAATTTTTCTAAAATAGAAATTAGCGAAAATGCAGATGGATTTTGTTTAGTAAGTTTATTCTAGGTCTTAGATGGCACTGAATATACAAAGGGCCATCATTACCTCTATGGAAAAGCTAAAAAAAAAAAAAGTATGGATCTGGACACTTCGCGCAGCAAGATCAACATGTTTTCATTTCATCTTCTCGTGAACGTGGGGGATTCCTGGGCCACACCGATGGGTGCGGGCTCACTGCACGCGTGCCCTGGCACTCGCTGTGCTGCGGCAGCTCACGTCCCATCCCCGGGGCCGGACACACTGTACCCAACTGCAGCTCTAGTTCATCAGGTTCCAATGAAACCCTGCTGCCTTACAGCAGTGGCTGCTCGACACCAGTTAGCAAGCTGGTTTCGCTGACAGCTAACAGCCAGCCTCTTCAGCCCGTTTAACTCAGTGGCCAACAAATCAATGTTCACACTCACGGGGAAGGGCTGGGAGGGACGGAGAAGGGACGCAGAGGCGGGGATGATGGCTTCAAGGCAAAGCGGCCAGACACCATTTCTCTCTCACCCCCAAACCAGCCAGTTTCCCGTCTGTTTTTACCTTAATGGCTTTTGCGGTCTCCAGTGACTGCTCAGGAGGGATTCCCACCTCCCTCTCCCTTAGCAGCTGTTGAATGAAATACGTAATATCTCTACCTGCAATCGGGATGTGTTTGATGCAGCTTCCAATTACATAACCTTCTGCCTGAGGAAGAAGAGGCAGGACGGTGTGTGTCAGTCATCGCTCAGACGGGAGCCACCCGGTCCCAGAGGTGCCCGCCTCACCCTCCCTGGCCACCCCCGCTCCTGGCATCGCAAGCACTGACCGAATCACTGCTGCACAGGCTCAGTACTGCTTCTATTTTTAAGTTACTGCATATGCAATTCCATTAATATTAAAATTCTAAATTATTCCAATAACATGAGAGTCTCCATAGCAACCAAAAATGATATTTTCAGTAGCAATGTAAAATAAAAATTACATTCGATAGTCTATTTCCAAAGAGTACCAGTAACACTGTGAGAAAAGTCCATCCAACAGCTTTATTCTACAACAGAAAGGAAAATGTTTGATCTGTAAATTGTTTTTTTTTTTTTTAAAAAAAAAAACCTAACTATAGGGCCTGGCACAGTAACCTAGTGGCTAAATCCTTGCCTTATATGCCCTGGGATCCCATACGGGTACCAGTTCCTATCACAGGTTGCCTTACTTCCCCTCCAGCTCCCTGCCTGTGGCCTGGGAAAGCAGTCGAGGACGGCCCAAAGCCTTGGGACCCTGCACCCGTGTGGGAGACCAGAAGAAGCTCCTGCCTTCAGATTGGCTCAGTTTGGGCCAATGCAGCCACCTGGGGAGTGCATCAGCAGTTGGAAGATCTTCTTCTTTGTCCTTCTCTCTCTCTCGGTAAATCTGACTTTCCAATAAAAATAAATAAATCTTTTTTTTTAAAAAAAAAAAAAGCCTGTAAATTATCATTATTTATGTTTAAATCAGCCACTGGTCAGGTGCAAAGGATTCAGATTCTAACCCCTGTCCCCGTCTGTCGGCTAAGTGACCATGGACCAGCCTCAGCATATGACTCCCTGGCGCTCTACTACACATTATTTTAATTCAGGTAAACAAGACCTCGCATGTCAAGCATGCAGCCGTGTGTTCTGGCACTTACTTAGTATTCAATAACATCCATGTACGGTCCTACAGGATGAGTCTGAAAGACTAACCTAAACGCTCCGCCAGCTAAGGACATCTGATCATTAGGCTGCATTCCCTCGCTGCGCTGCCTTCCTGGGCCCGTGAGGAGCCGGCAGGGGCTGGTGTGATTCCACCACCCTGACCTACCACTAACCAGACTGACATCCTTCCACCCACAGCAGCCATGTGTCCAAAGTTCCCTCATCGCCCTCCTTCTGGGCAGAGTGGTCCCAGAAGGCGCAAACCTGGCAAGTCCACTTGCTTTTTTTTTTTTTTTAAAGATTCTTTTTTTAAATTATTATTATTTTCTTATTGGAAAGGCGGATACACAGAGAGGAGAGACAGAGAGGAAGATCCTCCGTCCGAAGATTCACTCCCCAAGTAAGCGCAACGGGCCGATACTATGCCAATCAGGAGCCAGGAGCCTCTTCCGGGTCTCCCACACGGGTGCAGGGTCCCAAAGCTTTGGGCCGTCCTCGACTGCTTTCCCAGGCCACAGGCAGGGAGCTGGAAGGGAAGCGGGGCTGCCGGGATAGAACCGGCGCCCATATGGGATCCCGGGCGTGCAAGGCGAGGACCTTAACCACTTGCGCCACCGCGCTGGGCCCGTCCACTTGCTCTTTAGGGGCCAGGAGAGAGAGACGCTGACAGCATGAACAGCATCAGTTAGAAAGACACAGTTTGTGTTTCACAATGCAGCTCTATGCAACAATGTTCAAGTGATAAAGAAGGCAATGGAAATGAAAGCTGACTCCATTTTACAAACATGTTCGTCCTGGTAACGGCATGCACTAGACACAGCCGCAAGGTAAGGCGAAAAACTGAATTTCCCTTTTTCCTGACAGACCTAACTTCTGTAGAAAGTCCAAGTATTTGTAAAATATTTACAAGTAAAAAGTATAAAAGTACACAAGGGTTAAAAGTATAAATCACTGAAATATTAAAGGTCAAGTTAACCCATGAAATATTAGCGCTCTAACACAAACTATTCTGTTTTCTATGAATTATGCATAGCATTTTCTACATTTCTGCATTAAATAACAGCTTCGGTACAGTGAAACAAGCCACAGACTGCCCATTCAGTTCCCTTGGTCCAGCTCCCAATTCAGCTTCCCACCGACGCAGACCTGGGAGGCGGCAGGTAGGTGACGGCCCAAGCACCTGAGTCACTGCCACACAGGCAAGAGACCTCCACCGAGTTCCCGGCTCCAAGTTCCAGGCTCAGGCCAGCTCAGACCCTGCAGGCACGCGGTGAGTGGATGCACAGATGGGAGCCTTTGTCTGCCTCTCACCCTCTCTCTTTCATTAGAAAAAAAAATCCAATTTGCATTTTTCAAAGAAAGTGTCTACATAAACATGCTCACGCATTCCTATGCAAGAAGCAAAGTGACGGTGGCTCCTGGGGAGAGATGCTGGGATAGGATGCCCAGGAATGAGCCTGACTTTCCGCTCAATATCTCCTTCCCTTCAACACCACTTCAGCAAAGATATTTTTTAAAATAATTTCTTTTAAATAATCCATTAAGCCAAAAGAGGCTCTCTTTAAACTTGAATGAGAAATCATTCCTCTAAATATTTCGGAAATTAAACCAAAACATGATGTTGCAAAGTCTTCCAAAAGTCTAAACTATTATATCTCAATTCTTAAATAAATTTATAATAATAATAATAATCCGGGCAGGCATTGTGGTACAGGAGCTGTAATTACATCTTGGAACACCCACACTCCCTAGCAGAATAGCTGGTTTGCTACCTTGGTCACTGCTGCCCGCTGCAGCCCGGCCCAGCCCCAGCTGTGATGGTCATTCCGAGTGTGAACCAACAGATGGAAATCTCTCTCTCTCTCTCTCTCTCTCTCTCTCTCTCTCTCTCTCTCTCTCTCTCCCCCCTTCCTCTTCCCTTCCCTCTCTCCCTCTCTCCCCCTCCCTAAATTACTATTTTTCAGTCTCCGTCTGGATGACACCTGGCTCCTGAGATCATGCCTGTGGGGGTCACGCTGTCCACCTCGGACATCGAGACTTTACAATGGCCATCGTTTTCACTTTTCTCACATATCTGATTTTCTAAACCTTTAGACCTTTCCTAAACAAAACAAGGGCTTATTTATTCTACTTTTCTTACTTACCTCCGATCAGATGGCAAGCCTAAGGGAGCTAGGTGTGAACTATCGTGCTTACCACTGGGATGACATGCGTGACGCCGTCCCCACTGTCAATGACGATCCCTGTCAAGGTGCGTTCACCAACTTGTCGGGACGTCCAAGAGGCTGCTAAGGCCAGCACTGCCTGGAGGAAAGACAGAACCGCTAGTGAAACAGGCACCTCTGTTCAAAGCGCCACGCCCGCGGGTGCTCGGGTATGATCAACAAACTCCTACTTTCCCCTGTCACCCATCATCCCCACCAAATTTCAGTTCCAACTTGTACAACTTAACATACAAACTTTTAAACTCTAGGAGCTAAGTTTGCAGTAAAAAAGTCTCAAGTTTTACAAAGAAAATCCAAAATTAGAAGACTAAATTCTAATCCACTACTTCCCAAAGTGGGGCCAGATAGCTGCTGTAGAACTTTTCTGTGAAGGTCTCCCACCCAGAAATTCCAATCAAGGAGATCTAGGAAAGGGGGCTTCATCCAGGAGCAACTGTGCCCCCCACCAGGGGACAGCCGGAACTAGTTGTGTCATTTTTTATCACCATACTTGTAAAGAGAGAGGTACCTGGTGGGGGTCTTTAGTGCATAGAGTCCAGGGCTATTGCCAAGTACGCTGCAATGCACAGGGTAGCCCCACGACAAAGAACTATCCAACATTTAGCACAGAGCTTGGAAAATCCTGATCTAACAGGAAGGTTGTACACAATCTGTAGTTTCAAACACTCCCTAGGAGTGAATGTGATGCACCGACCACTCTGAGAACCAATGGGACAGTGTTTTTTTGTTTTAATTATTATTATTATTACTATTATTGTTTAGTCTTGAATTTTCAGGTACAATTGCATAGGGTCTGGGATTTCCCTTCCCCCTCCCCAAACTTCCATCCTCAACTGATTTTCCCCATATTATAACAAGTATAGTCCTTCATAAGCAGTCATAAGTCCAGCAATCTGTCCATTAAGTGTGTCCTGACAGTGCTGGTACAGACAGTGTCAGAGAATCCAGCATCCCATTGTCTAGATATGTTCAACAATTTCATCGGGAGTCCATCATTGATTTGGAAGTAGAGATGAATATTGCATTATATTGTCATATCTGGATATGACAGTCTCTATTATGCTGTCACCATACATTCCCTTAAATGAGAAACCACGAAACAAAAGTCAAGAACAAAGGGAATGAAGTTAAAACAAACAAAGAAAAAAACTTACGGCACATGGACTCAAACAATATGCCAATGAATAACCAACGCACCGATGAAGAAATGAAAAATAAAACACAAAAGCCTCTTGGGTAAAATGATGCTACTGTACGATGTATAAGCCAGAGAAGAACTTAATGAGAAAGAAATATTTGGAAGGGATGAAAATAAAAATAAAAACATCACAACACATATGTTGCAGCAAAAACAATTTGCATGAAGTCTGCCTTATATCAGAGAACATATGGTATTCACCCTTTTGGGGCTGACTTATTTTACTGAGCATAAAGGTCTCTAGTTGGGACCTTCTAGTTGCAAATGGTAGAATTTCATTCTTTTTAATGGCTGAGTAGTATTTCACAGAGTAGATTTACCACAGTTTCTTTAACCACTCCTCTTTGGACGGACATCTGGATTGTTTCCATGTCTTTGCTATTGTAGATTGTGCTGCTGTAAATATAGGATTACAGATCCCTTTTTCACATGCAGATTTTATTTCCTATGGATATATTTCTAGGGATGGGATAGCTGTGTCACATGGCAGGTTTATTTGCACTGCTCTAAGCACTCTCCATACTGGGGCACTGGTTTTGAAAGTCTCTCCCCATCCCATGGAACACAATCTGGGGCTTACTAAACTTGGACGTGCTGGAATCAATTCTCAGAGTCATGTCCTATTAACACATACTGAATTACCATGAGAAGGCTACAGAGTGCACTGCCTCCCAAATCTATTTTCCTGTGGAACACCTGCTCCTTTTTTAAAGCAGTTCCTATCACCATACAGAAAACATGTGGGAAGCACCCATCTAATCTATAATTGTCAAAATTGTAACCAATTCCATTGAATAAGGTACCAAACATATAACAATCAAAAACAATAAAAAAGAAAGCCCTCAAACCAAGTGCAAATGTCTTCAAAAGCAGTTTTTCCAAGCTCATGGAACCACAGGATATCTTAGAAACAAAAAGTACAGTGGGACTAAGAAGGAGAAACTTTGTAAAGATATTTATCCATTTTTATTTTCAACGGACTCTACAGTAAACAAAAGAAGCCAGACACAGAACCACAGCTGGATCTATCCTTTCACTTGGAAAGAAGTAAGTTAGACATAATACGGACGTCACACAAATACGGACGTGCGAGTCAACGGACCCGTTCCCAGCTCTGATTCTGTTCACACCTGAGCACAGGGCAGCGGGAGTGGCCGGGGGGGGGGGTGAGAAAAGCAAATAGACACGCCACTGTCTCATGACAAGGGTGTTTTGGAACACAGCTAAAGTTATTTGAGAATCACAAAAAATAACTTGGTTTTTTTTTTTTTCTCTTTTTACCTGAACTGCAATGTAGAGTCCTGGGACATTGAATGATTCAAACATAATTTCTGCAAGGTATTCTCTGTTTTCTGGAGTGTTCAGGGGAGGTTCTGTCTGTAAGAAAACATTGACCATATTTAGTATTTCATGAATTACATTAGAACCACAATAAAAATTAAAGAAACACATTTTGGCTAGGATATTACACAACTTATGACTAGAGTAACTAATGAAAGACATTTGGTGATGGGTCTTTAAGGTGTAAAAGTGAAGAACTCCCTGGAAGTGTCTGCTCCTATCATCCACCCAAAACAAGAACAAGGAGAAAAAAAACACCAACTCTGAGACCACAACACATAAACACTCTGAAAATGAACAGTCCCTTGGCAGGTCGTGTAAAGGGCAGTGGAAACAGAGCCAGGATGAGTGAGGACATCCCAGGCAAAGTCACACAAGCATAGGACAACAAACACAAAACATTAAAACAAAAAGAGAAGGGGGCCAGCACTGAGGCTAAGCTGCCACCTTTGACACCTGCATCCTGTATCCTGTATCCCGGAGCACTGCCCCGATTCTGTCTCTAATCTAGTTCTATGTTAATGCATCTAAGAAAGCAGTTGAAGATGGTCCATGTGCTTGGAACCCTACCCAGTGTGGGAGCGCGGTTATACAACTTTCGGAGGGGAATTCATTTTCTCACACTTCCTGAGAATTGCTGTCTAAGTCTCTAATAAGGACCCTTCCGGAGAGAATCCCGCGGTGGTTATGACTGCAACTTTCACTCGACACCATTTTAAGAATCCTACAAAAGCTGTAACTCCCCTTGCATCTACTGCTCTTCTTATTCAGGCACTCACCATCTCTCCCCAGAGTATTATGAAGACTGTGTGTATCAGCCTTGCCCCTCTCTATTCTCTCTAAAATAGAAGCCTGCAACGACTGCCTAACACCTTCCCCAGCCACTCACTTGACTCTAGTTACGCTAGTTGGTTCTTGCTGCTAGTCGCTGGTCGCTAGCAAGGGCTGCTTAAATGTTCTCACACAATTAATTTTCAGAAAGTTGGAAAAAAAAATCTCTTCTTAAGTTATAACTCAATGTTCACTTTAAAATACAACTCTATAAAGTATATGACTCCGTTCTGAATTCTGAGCAATTCAGTGTTGAAGAGCGTGGCTCTCATTTGCCAGTATTTGAGTCTTTGAGCCTCCTAGAAAACCTTAGGTGCTAATGAGCGCATGGTCATTCTGCAGGCAGTTCTCTGAGCGGCTCTTAAAGCCCCCCTGACGCTTCAGTTCAGTAAGCGTCTCCCACTCACTTTCTTTTACTCAGTCTTACCTATTCCAGAAACTGACAAGTCAGGACATAACCCAGAAGGACATTTACCATTCTATCCTATCACTCCTCAGCACATCATGCAAAGAACTGACTTACAGAATCCAAAATACAACATATGGAATACCAAATTTCTTATTTTGTAATAATAAACTGGATTACTTTTGAAAATCAACTATACCCATTTTCAGCAAATGAACTTTTCCATGTTTACACTGAGCACCTCTATAGGAAGTGCCTGTGTTTTACTAGCTTCTATGTGTCAGTTACATATTTTAAAAAAGAAAATTCTCTTCGTAAAAATATTTTGTAGGCTATACGTTCCAGCAGCCTGCATCATTCCATGGGCCTGAAGATCAGCTGTCCCTTTAAATAGAACAAGAACTCCCGGCACAGGAAGCTGCAGCAGACGGAAGGAGCAGCTGGGCATGGGGCCTGGTCCTAAAACCCGATCCAACAGGTAGTTCTGTGACATGCCTGAGATGGGAAAATGCCAAATCTGACAGGTGGGAATCTGTGATTTGTTTTGGCTATAAAGAAAAAGCTACTCATACACACTGTCAGTTTTTTGGCTCCTTTATTTTACATAAACCATTCTAGACGAACAGGAGAGAAGTTACATAGAGTGACCTATAAAGGCCATGTATGGCCATCCTAATTGTGGAAAAAATAGCCTAGAAAAAACATCAGAACACCTTCAAGAGCTTGTTGTAGTAACTGTCCACTGACTTATTAGTCTTGCAGTTAGCATATTTTCAGAACCAGCTAATTATATAAATAACACTTCACAGTCTAACATTAGAGTGAAATAAGTGAATCTCTGACAATTTGATCATGCATTTACAAGGGAAATTATGCGGGTTTTAAAATGCAGCCCTTGTTACATGAGAATGCTTTCAGTAAAGCACTGTGTACATGCAATTAATTTTAACTTAAAAAGAATATCTCATGGAAGGAAGCAAGAAATGTTGAGTAGAAAATCAGAATAGATCTCACAGACAAGAGATGTTTCTTCCTATTACTCTAACATTTTGTTTCAACGAGATCAATTAAGCACGGTTTTCATGGTCCCAAACAGTCCAGTTTTACTCACCACTAACTTTAAACCATGGTGGGGCAGGGAGCAGATAATACTTTGACTTTGCTGTGCTACTGTAAGCCACAATAATCACAGCCATCTGACTACTGTAAAGATATTTAAGAGCACACTTGGTGTCTGGCCTGTTTACAGCTTACCCTCCTCCCAGAGTCCAGGTGATCAGCCACCCCCCTCCCAGCCCCAGGGAGGGATTCTAGATCATCTGAAACAGTCAAGGCAATTCCATCCCACCTATTCCTGCCCAGGTTAAGCCATGGCACTTGGAGAAAATCTGCTAGAAAGCTGTGGAGAAAGGATTTCTAAAACTGTAGAAAGTGATGTGCAAGGAAAACCCTCTGTGAAGCAGGAACTTTGGCAACTATGCTGGAGCCTGAGAGAAACCAAGAGAAAGGTCAAGTTCACACACTAGGCTGTCTCCCCAATCCCATCACTAAATGGCTGGAAATATTCCATCCTCTGGTTCACTCCTCAAATGCCCCACAGTGACCAGGACTGGCCAAGACCCAGGCAGGAAGCCAGGAAAGCAATGCAGGTCTCCCACATGGACCACAGGGACCCAAGCACTGCCTCCCTGGTGCAGAAAGGAGCTGGATCTAGGCACTCCATTATGGGATGCGGAGCCTCAAGCAGCATCTTAACCACTGCGCCAAACACTTCCCTGCAGCAAATATCTCAGAAGGAATTAAATACTGTCTAAGGAAAGAGTATCATGAGTTTAAAATATCAGCAATTTTGAAATCTGTATGAATATATTTCTTAATTCCAACTACTCACCATCAAGAAATAATGGTCTTCAGGCTCAGCGCGAAGATACTTAAAAACTACTTGTTCCATGAACCTTTCCATAAGATCCCAGTCTTCAATGATCCCATGTCGTATTGGCCACTGACGGAAGAGAAACCAACATGTGTTCAGGCTTTACTTCATGACAGTAAGAACAGCTTAACATCAGTACAGAAGAGACTATGTGTTCCTAGAGAATGAAGGTCTCCTAGGGCAAGTCATGTGGACCCCGATAAAGAAACAATAGGTGCTTTAAAACAATGACTAATCTATTCAACTGCTTGCACTCTATTCTACCCATTTCTAAGCACAAGCAATCACTTTATCAATGAGAGACAAACGGAAAAGTACAGCACATATACCCCACAATAGGATGTGGAGCTTTAATTATTTTTCAGAAGAAATATCTGTTTAGGTGATATTTTGTTTTAATTAATTCCTTGGCCAATTTCCACATCTAACAGGTTAATCAGGAAAACAGATTTTGCTAGGAGTAAATATGCCTTTCATCATCAAAAAAAAAAAAGTGTGTTTGCTGAGTCAATCCTGTATTCCAAGGATTTGTTAACTCACTGGATCCTTCATTCAGAAATACCCCTATTATATTTATCCTACTCAAGAGGAAGAGCGACAGAGGCAGAGGCAGGCAGGCAGAGCTCCCATCTGATAGTTTATGCCAACAAAACCCCAACAGCCAAAACAGGTTCCGAACAAAGCCAGGAACAAGAACTCAAATCTAAGTCTCCCACGTAAGTGGCAAGCAAGGGATCCAGTGACGTGTGCCATTTCCTTCTGCCTCCTAGATCCTTCACTGGATGTGCAGTACGTCCTGTAGTCAGGAGCTACAGCCCAACAAACTCACTCTGATACAGCACAAGGGCCTTTTAACCACTATGCCGTATACTTGTCTCATACCCCGAAAAACTACCACCGTCATATCAATTTTAATAATAAAGATATATCCCAGAGAATGGAAATTGAGACTAGGCATTAAAGCACCCAAGTTCCACCTCAGAGTGACCTGGGTTCCATTCCCAGCTCCAGCTCCTGACTTCAGCTTCCTGTGAAAGTAAACCCTGGGAGGCGGGGTGAGCAATGACTCAAGTAACTGAGTTCCTGCCACCTCCAGAGACCAAACTGCATTCCAGTTCCTGACTGGCTCTGGCCCCACTGCAACCGCTGTAGGCACCTGGACAATAGACCAGCTCCCCTCCAAATGATGCAGCACTTTGCATTTTCCATTCTACCGCTCGCTTTCTGGTTCTGCAGCAAGAAGAAATTCCTGGCAGGAGTTTACCTTTGTAGCATACGTAGGTTTATCAATGGCTTCATCCCCTATGAAAAAATCAAGGTCATCAACTCCCCTCAACACTCTCCTCTGGGCTTGGTCGACTACCTTTGCTGACTCCCTGATGGCAATACCTTAAAAAAACAAAAACAAAAACAAAACAAAGCACAAAGATTTCCATCACTATTCACATTTATCTGATTGACCAAAACTCATGATAATATAATCCCCGTGTATATATATGTATATATATACATATACATATATGTATATATATACATATATATGTAGATTATAATGTCAGGGTTTTATCTGGAGTCAAAATAGTATTCACAGAAAAGACATGGCTGCTGAGCACATAAAATAACACCGGAATAAGTTATTAAATGCCAGAATTATTATGGTACAAAGCAATTTATGGACCTGCTTTTAATGTTGACATAACCTATATTACTACTCTTCTCAATTTCACCTAAAAAAAAAATCTCTTAAGAAAATAATGAGTATTCATGGACTATATAAGTTCTAACTTTAATATACAGTATGGAAAGGGGTGCTATTAAAGAGGAGACTAAAGCAAAAAGGAATGCCTATATGCTCTTATGTCATTACAACAACATCAAACAGCTTAAAAATACAAATTTAATCTCGTTATAGTAAAAACAAGAAAGTTGTGATTTCCCATTAAAAGGAAAGCTAGACTACTAACTGGTGTAACAGTGAAGTACAGTAAGCTGTACAACAGAACAATCTAACATGTAAATGGCTTTATGAAACATTACCTTAATATGAGAGTATACTTAATTATAAACAACCACATAAAATTTGGCTCTAGCATTTAGCATCTGATGAAGCAAAGTAAGTCTCACAAAGACTGGATTCTCCATCCAGATTCCCACTCCCACCCTCATCACAGTCTGAGCTCCCATAAACTATGACCCACCCTCAGGGCAGCACATGCTTCCCCCGAGACATGCCTTGACAGTCTGGAGTCTGGACCATGTCTATGATGCTTCATAGGCCTTTCCATATTTCCAGTAAGGCATTTTTCAGGATGAATTATACATGTTTATAATCTATTAATTAGACTACAGCCTTCTTAGGGTCAGATATGGTAAATCTTATACTGTTTCTCTAGTCATAGGCACGCACGTCAAAAAAAAAATGAATAGCTTATATGAGAGTATTTCAAAAATTCAGAGAAATAAAACATAAGTTTATTTTGGTGCAACTAACTTTGAAGTCAGTGCATAATCAATAGTAGCCATTTTCCACAGACTTTCTGAAGATCCTTTGCATTTTTCTTTTATTTGTAATACTGTCTATATGGCTGAGAGGGATGCATGCCCACGTGGCCTCTGATTACGGTGGGCCTATGATTAGGGTGGGCCTCGGATTAGGGTGGGCCTCGGATTAGGGTGGGCCTCTGTTTAGGGTGGGCCTCGAATTAGGGTCGATCCTTTGTATCTCTGAAGTCTTAGCGTTTCCTTTTGCACATTGTTTCAAATAATCCTCACAAAAGTTTAAGGGAAGCTTAAGTTCTTTATTTCCAATTTACCAAAGTGCAGGCTTAAACAACTCCGGCACCTGATCTAGAAGAGTGGAGATCTGCATTTAAGCAGTTCACTGAGTATAAGGCATCAGAGAAATGCTTAATATTCTAGATGCAAGTAGTGCAGCACAGCACATTAAGGCACCACCTGCAATGCCAGCACCCCATGAGTGACAGTTAGAACCCTGACCTGCTGGACTTGTGATCCACCTCCCTGTTACCATGCCTGGCTACATAATCCTCAGATTTAGTACAAGCTAGCTGACCAAAGGAAAGCCGATGCTGAGGCCCAGTATTCTCACCTCTGTAACAGGTGTAATGCCACCTCCCCAAAAGGGACATGAAAATGAAAGTATACCAGGCATTTAGCAGAGAACATGATGCATAGTAGTAGCCAATAAATGATACCAAATCATCTAAGTCAGAGATTAATAAATAAATCCTACAATATCTTTTTTAAAAAGCTAAGAAGTAGCCTTCCAGACTAATAATGCAAGTTTTCTCCATTGCTGTTGGGGCTGCAGGTTGGTGCAGCCTCTATGGAAATCAGTATGGAAGATACTCAAACAACTGAAAATCTGCATACCATACAATCCAGCAATAGCACTCCTAGGAATATATTCAAAACACCTGTTATACAACACACCTACATGCACTCCCATGTTCATAGCAGCACAATCAATAATTGCAAAAACTTGGAAGCAACTGAAATACCCATCAACAGAAGACTAGATAAGAAAGCTATGGTTTATTTACTCCATGGAATACTACCCAGCTATTAAAAAAAAAACGAAATGCAGTTCTTTGTGGACAAATGGGCCCAACTGGAAACCATCATGCTTAGGGAAATGAGTCAATCCCAAAAGGTCAGATACCACATGTTTGCCTTAATTTAAGTTGAATGCTGTCAGTTTGTAAAAGGGTACCTATGAAATGTAGTATTACATTGTTCATTAACCCCATAATGTTGGAAACGGTTGTTGATGTTATGTTATGGCATTTAATTGGTTGGACTGACAATCTGCCAGCTGTGTCTCCAGATCAGATTTGGTCTCCTCAAGAAACTGTTGAATTCAGCTGGGCAATAAGATACTGGACACTATGCAAGGCACATGCTTGCATTGAAAAAAGCAAGACTAAATTTGAACTGTAATACTGCAATAACGTGGAGCAATCCACCATGGGGGGAGGGCATAGAGAGGAGAAGGGGGAACATCAGAGCTTATGAAACGCTGTTATAAAATTAAATGCAATTAAAAAAATAATGCAAGTTTTCAAAAAGTTCATGGAGAAGCCAGCAGTGTGACCCTGCAGGTGAAACCACGATTTGCAGTATCCCAAAAGGACATCAACTGGAGTCCTGGCTGCTCTACTTCTGATCCAGCTCCCTACCCATATGCCTGGAAAAGCAGCAGATGGGTCCCTGCACCCACAGCTGAGACCTACAAGAGGCTCCTGATTCCAGGCTTCAGCATTAACGAGTTCCAGCGGTTGCAGCCATTTGGGGAGTGAACCAGTGGACAGCCAATTGTGTGTGTGTGTGTGTGTCCCTCTAATTCTGTCTTTCAAATAAACAAATCTGTGTTTTAAAAAAACAATTAATAAAGGAAAACTATGCATGGATTTTAGAATACTTTTGCATAAAGGCATCTCTAATTCTACTTTTCCAAAAACTTTTTGAAGTACCCTACAATGCACAGAATCACTTCAAAATAACAAATTTGCAGAGCTGTATACATACTTAATATGAATTCATATGATGCTAGCCCAAGGACTTAACACAGGTTAGGCCTTGGCGACATAATTACAGGTGATTTGGGACTGGTGTGGCGGGGCCATCTATGATACCAGCATTCCATGAGTGCTGCTTCAAGTCCTCAATGTTCCACTTTGGATCCAACTCCCTGCCTATGCACCTGGTAGAGCAGCAGAGGATGGCCCACGTCCTTGGGGCCCCTGCACCCATGTGGGGGATCTGAAGTGAGCGAATGAACCATCTGGGGAATGAACCAGCAGATGGAAGGTCTTTCTGTTTCTGTCTCTCTATATCTCTGCCTTTGAAGTAAATAAATCTTCAACATAGAAAAAAGAATATAGATGATTTATGCTTCCTTTCACTAAACACACTGGCTTTACAACTATGAAAAAGAAAGGTAGAGTAAAATTAAAAGCTAACATTGTTTGTAAGCCAAAGCACTATCCTGTTACATCTCAAATTCATTTACCCTCAGCATATTATATCCAAATTGAAAGCTCTCAGGAAAGGACAAGCTACAAATCTGCCTTTAAAATAGTTTCAGAAAATCAGTAAGTAAATGCAATTATCTCTAAAAGTAGATTCCCTGGGCTGGCATGGTGGCATAGCAAGCTAACCCTCTGCCTGCTGTGCCAGCAACCACACTAGTACCACATCATGTGCCAGCTGCTCCACTTCTGATCCAGCTACCCACAGGGCCTGGAAAAGTAGTGGAGAATGGTTCGTGTTCTTGGGCCCTTGCACCCACGTGGGAGACCTGGAGGAAGCTCCTGGCCTCAGACTGGCCCAGCTTTGGCCATTCAACCATTTGGGGAATGATCCAGCAAATGAAATCTATCCCTCTCTGTCTCCACCCCTCCTTCCTTCTCTCCCTCCCTGTAACTCCCACTTTCAAGTCAAAACAAGTAAGTCTCTTTTGAAAAAAGTGGATTGCCTGAAACCCCACATCTATTTACAAATGAAGAATAACATAAAAGTGAATTGAAACCTTTTTCTAAGAAAGGCATCTTAAAATAAGGGAGAAAAGGAAAAGGCACAGGAGCAAAATCACTCTGAAACTTTCAATTTTGGGCCAGTATGATGGCTCAACCAGCTAATCCTCTACCTCCAAGACCCAGCATCCCATATGGGCACCAGTTCTTGTCCCAGCTGCTCCACTTCCAATTCAGCTTCCTGCTTATAGCCTGGGAAAGCAGACGAGGATTGTCCAAAGCCTTGGGACCCTGCACCCACATGGGAGACCCAGAGCAGGCTCCTGGCTTCTGGCTTTACATCAGCTCAGTTTTGGCAATTGTGGCCAGCTATTTTGGGAGTGAACCAGCAGATGGAAGATCTTTCTGTCTGTCCTTCTCTCTATCTCTCGTTCTCTCTGTAAAATGTACCTTTCCTAATAAAAATAAATCTTAAAAAAGAAAACAAAAAAAGGTAGCACAAATCTCCAGGACTTAAGGAAGCAGCAGTGTTGTGGAAGTGCTAGGCTCGGAGCCTGGAGACAGCCCGGACCAGAGTGAAGAGTACTCTGCAGCACTGGGGCTGGGATCGGGCTATAGTCCGGCAGGCCATAACTGGCTAAGGCAATCCACAGAAATAAATAAAGTTTATCTCTGAAAACTGACCAGACATACAATGCATAACATGGCTTGCAACAGACCTCAAAAACCCTCATAAAATGTGTACCAGTACAGGTGAAACAGATTCTGTCCTCTGGGAAAAATTATGCTGAAGTATGCATGAATCTAGAATTAAACTGCCAAGACAACAAGAAAAAAATTAAAGACAAGAAAAACTTCCGAAAGCTTCTAGCAAAGTTCCCACTTGAACACATG